TGGCCTGCTGTGTTCATCCAGCTCTACACCTTGTTGTCTCAGATGATTTAAAGAAGCCTTTGGATTAACAATAGCCTCTGCTGCTGTTAATACAGCCCCTTTGTGTCCCAACTTAGGGTTTGTTTTCCAAATTCTGATGAGAAAAACTTTAGGATTCTTGTATATTGGTATGAATACATAAATGGACATTGTTGTTCTTGGTCTCAGTAACAGATCTGTAATTATAGCATTAGCATTCACCATTCAAGTAAAAATAACCCTTTAACATTAGAAGGCAGTGATGCAGAGAAAGATTGAAGTTTTAATTGAAAGGAAGACTTTACCTCAACAATGCATTAAACCTCCAATCTAACTTCTGAGTTGAGATAGATGGGAATTTCTTTTATTATATTCTTTAATTATCACTTTTGCCCATTTTGAATTTCTCTTTTATTTTAGATACTCACTAATTATCTCTCTGCAGGTTTCACAGTATTCAGCATAAAGTGTTTCAAAACAGCCGCAGCAATATGGTTGCCCTTCCTTCATAATGTATTTCTGTCCTCCGAGAATTACTTCGCATTCTGTACAGCTGAAGTGGTCCATATGCCAATATCTGCCTTCTGCCTCTGTGCACTCTTCAGCAAAGATCAACTGAAATGTCACAGAAACTCATTGTTATAATCAGACACTGGCGAAGCCTCTACATCCCAGATTTGTGCCCTTGGGCTGCAAAGTGGCAGAAGAATAATGTGGTGAGGGAATGCGTGCCTTGTTCCCACTACTTCCTTGCCCATGGGCGCTATCATTCGAGCCCCCCACCATCTTTTCTTCCACAACTCAGGGTTGGGTAGGTCACTCTTTGCCAGAGCAGTGGAGGTTTAATTAAAATGGAGATGTTGTGTGCTAGTGACATCATTAGGACTCGCTTACTGTTTCTACCATGACTTTCACTCTGACAGAATTCCAAGCAGCCAGGGAAAACCCACGGAGGTTAGAATCCCGGCTGCAGGAGATCTTAGTGAGTAAACTTTTCTTATTTGAAAGACTCATTGTGTAAGGTAGGTGAAATAACTCCACTGAGGTTGGTATCCATCACTAAGTCATCCTTTATTTACACGTGGAAAGTCCTTGACACTGTTCTAGTTTCGTCAGAGCCAGCTCTCAGAGTGAACAGGATGTCTGACACTCCTGTTTATATCTGTCAGCCAGAGCTCCCTGATTGGACCAGATTAACAGCCCCAATCAAGGAACTCATATTCTATGATGTCCACCTGGCTGACTTCATTATAATCACTATAGTAGAGTTGATAGATTTTTGATGAACGACGGGGTGAAAGATTATCAGGGAGAGGTGGAAAATTGGACAAATAAGATCAGCCATGATCTGATTAAAACTGAGTAACTCTCTGTTGCTCAAATCAAATACATACGTTCCCTTCTCTTGGCATCTCAAAACTTTGGAAGCCAGGACTACTTCATCTTGTCTTACCCAAACTCACTTTCTTCCTGGAGCCAATAAAGCTATGGAACTTTTTGATAATCCTTGTGGAAAATATTCATAACTGGGAGGAGGCAGGGGAAAACAACATTTATGTCAGAAAACCAAAACAGCCCTCCTTCAATTCTCAGGAGGGGTCACTGGACTCGACGTGCTAACTCCGATTTGTCTTCACAGATGCTGTCGGACCTGCTGAGTTTTTCCAGCAATTTCTCTTCTTGTGACCAGAATTGTAATCCTAACTTTTGGTTGCGAGGAGGAACGAGAGGGTTGAGTCTTACCAGCCTCAATGGGACAGCAGATGAAATGCTTTGATTGGTGAAGGGGGTGCTTTTAGTCTCTGATTGACTGACACATGATTCTTAAAGGTCAGTTCATCATAGTTTGTGTAAATAATTGCTCTTCTGTGAGTGAGTCAAGCAATAACTGACCTGAGGCAAGTTAGAAACAAAAACGGAAATTGTTGGAAAAGCTCAGCAGGTCTGGCAACATCTGCGAAGAGAAATTCAGAGTTAACGTTTCAGGTCGAGTGACCCTTCCTCAGAACTGTCAGGTTAGATATTACTGATGCGATAAGATTGGGAGTTGGAAAAACAAGTTGGGGAATGTTGAAAACCGCTCACCTGGTCACATGATGCACAGCGTGGTTTAAAGAGATCAGCATGGTGTCTGCCGCAGTATAGCTTCCCATCCTGGTAAAAGTAAATGAGGTCTACCAGCAGCTCCTGACAGGTGGTGCATCCAAAGCAGTAGGGGTGCCAACACGTGCGGTTCCCAGCTCTCTGAGCAAAGACAGCAACGTCCCCTCCATTTATCTTCCCACCACACTGAAAGCACATGAGCAGATAGTCAGGGTGTAAATCCTACACAAGGCTTGATTCCACAATACTCACATTCTCAACCATGTTTTCGATCTCCATCTTTCCAACCATCTCTGACCCTACAACCCTCCTGGATCTCTTTGCTGATCCACTTGTGGTTTCTTGTGCACCCTGATTTTATTTGTTCCATGGCTGTGCCTTCAGCTGCCTTGGCTCTAATCTCTGAAGTTCTCTCTCTAAGCCTTTACCCGAGAGATATTGGGATACTGGTGAATACATGGCATAAAGGTAGATAATTGTCCATGACCTGTTTAAATAGTAGACCAGCTTGACAGGCGAAATGTTCTACCCCTGTCCCTATTTCCTCTGTACTTCTCTGTACCTTTGTTTACTCCCGTAAGCCCTTCTTTACAAACCTGTTCCTTCGACCAAGCTTCCAACAGTCTCAAGCTCTCCTGTGGTTTGTTTGGCAATACTCTCGTGAAGCACCTTGCGACATTTTATTACTTTAAAGCCACTATTTAAATGCAAGTTGCAAGGGGTACAGGGCTGCTTTATTTGGATCAATTTTGTGACCAGCTTTTTCTAGGCCTCAGATTGACAGTGTGCCCACAACACTCACATAAACACCACACTTCATGTTCATTTCATTGGCTATCGTTTTTGCCAATTATAGATATGCTGTCGATTTCAGACTCAAACTGACCCTTGGTTTCAAATTATGTTGCTTTGAAATGTCAAAACGTTTATGGCTTTGCCACTGGTTTTTAAAAGTGTATTCAGAGGATGTGGGCACTATAGGTTGCATCAGCATTTAATGCCCATCCCTAGTTGACCTTAAGAAGATGGTGGTGAGCTGCCTTCTTGAAGCACTGAAGTCCATGTGTTGTCCACAGACCCACAATATCCTGAGGAAGTGAATTCCAGGATTCTGACCCAACAGCACTGAAGGAACGGCGATATATTTCCAAGTCAAGATGGTGAGTGACTTGGAAGGGAACTTGCAGGTGGTGGTGTTCCCAAGTATCTGCTGCCCTTGTCCTCCCAAGATGAAGGTGGGCCTGGGTTTGAAAAAGTGCTTTCAAAAAATCCTTGGTGAATTTCTGCAGCAGATCTCGTAGCTGGTTCACGCTGCTGCTTCAGAGTGTTCGTGGTGGAGGGATGGATGCTTGTGGGTGTGATGCCAATCAAGTGGGCTGCTTCGTCCTTGATGGTGTCAAGATTCTTGCATGTTGTTGGAGATGCACCCATCCAGGTAAGTGGGGAGTAATCCATCACACCATTGACTCGCGCCTTGAAGATGTTTAGGCTTTGGGGAGTCTGGGGGTGAGCTACTCACCACAGTATTCCTAGCCTGTGACCTGATTTTTTTGGCTGGTCCAGTTTGGTTGCTAGTCAGTAGTAACCCCAGGATGGTGATAGTGGAGGGGCTCAGCAATGGTAATGCTATTGTATGTCCAGAGCGAATAGTTAGTTTCTTGTTTGATCAAAATGGTCAGTACCTGGCACTTGTGTGGCGTGAATGTTACTTCCACTTGTCATCCCAAGCCTTGATGTTAAAGGCATGCTTCTGAACATGCTCAATGACATAGTCACTTCACAGTGTATGAAAGACCCATCCTGACATCACAAGATCCTAAAAGTTACCAAGTCATGTATAGTCAGAGATCATCTCATTGAAAAATACTTTAGTAGGGCTGGAGTCAGATATACAAATACATTTCTTGCAACTGCAGAAGCTCACAGCCATAAAATTGTGAAGAGGCTGTGAAAATTTTAAAGACATTAGTTCTTATGACTGGTTTTGAATCCCCCTTACATTTTTCTACATTTCAATTGATGCTGTGCGATCAGTTAAAATTAAATTTATCAAAGTAGCCAACTTCCCTGAAGTTTGGTGACAGACAAGGTAAGTTGAAGACAGGAATTAAGGCATACCAAATGTAGAGAGATAATTAGGCTGCTCAAAACACAGTAAAATTCATGTTATCCAGCTCCTTACCAACTGAGTTGTCAATATTGTCTCTGCATATCACTATTGCTGTATAAAATCCCACTGATGTCAGCCTGAAGTGATTGTAAAAGGACCAGCTGAAGATTGAAGTGTTTCCCCTCAGTGTTTACAGTGAAAAGAATCAAAGGTGAAGAAGCTGTAAGCCTCATGCAAGTTGCACTATACTGTTTGTTCGATTCCTATAATAACCACAAACTTCAGTGGGTTAACCAGCACTTTTGATTTACTGGCACCACCCTATCCCTGTGTGTTTCAGAGGAGAGGGATGTTACTGTATTAGTAGGGGGATCATAGGAGATGGTCTAATGTAGCCTGTTAGGTCTCAATGTAAGGATCCTACTCCAAATGAAATGGAGTTGGTCTATTGACAGTGTGAATTAAGGAGGTTTAAGAAGTAAGGTTAATGTCTGTGCCTTTTGTAAATAAACATTCTTCTGTCCTTCACTGAACATCCACTGGGTTACCAAGAAGCTGAACTGGGCCAGCAGCATAAATATTCTGGCTAAAATATCAGGTCGGAAGCTGGACATTCTGTGGTGACTAACATCCTGGCCACCATCTACAAGGTACAAGTCAGGACTCACTTGTCTGGATGAGTGCAGCTACAATAGCACACAAGTAGCTTGACACCATCTGGGAAGAAAAACAGCCCACTGATTGGGCCCCCATCCATCACCTTAAATATTCACTCTTCCATCATCAGTGCACAGTGGTAAGGAGCTGGATAACATGAATTTTACTGTGTTTTGAGCAGCCCAGTTATCACTCTACATATAATATGCTCTAATTCCTGTCTCCAACTTGCCTTGTCTATCTCCAAACTTCAGGGAAGTTAGCTTCATTGATAAATTTAATTTTACTGATCGCACAGCATCAACTGCAGTGTAGAAAGATGTGTTCGAATATGCAGAATGTAAGAGAAATCACATTACAGGGTGATTGTAGCAAGCCAGAGGCTGCTGTTTTGACCAGGGAATGAGAGAATGGTCAGGGGTGGGGGGTGTCAAAGCTAGTCTTAAGAACTAATGGCTTTAACTTTCACAGCCCCTTCACAGTTTTATGCCTGTGAGCTTTTGCAATTGCAAGAAATGTACTTGCATATCTGACTCTAGCCCTACTAAAGTATCCGTCAATGAGATTGCACTGCAGCGACCAGTCAACACTCCTTCGATAGTACCTACCATACCTGTGACATCTACCATTTAGAAGGACAAGGGCAGCAGGTGCAAGGGAGCACCATCGCGTGCAAGTTGCTCTCCAAGTCACATTCCATCCTGTTTACAGGTCGACATCCAGGACATTCCTCCCTAATAGTACTGTGGGCGTCCCTACACCATGTTAATTGCAGTGGTTCAAGAAGATAGCTGACCACCATCTTCTCATGGATATGCAATAAATGATGACCTAGTCAGTGACACCCACATCCCATGAAAGAATTTAAAAAAAATTCAACTAATATTTTCTGGGCTCAAGTCCATTTACTTTGTTGGATTCCCATTTTTACTTTTAGCTTACCTTTTCACAGAGTGCTCCAGTGGCAGTTAAAGGAAACACCTGAACAGTTCCACGTCCCAGTGCTTCCCTCTTCCTCTGACCACTGAAGACACGCAACTCCCTCTTCTCTTCTTCACTTAGCGATTGGCAGTACTTCTCCTGTGAAGAAACAAGACAGAGTTAACTTCATTGTTATATATTCTGTGAATCACAGGGTGCAAACTGATTGCATTCTGGGGAAATGATGGCTTAGTGATATTTTTGCTAAACTACTAATCCAGTTTATGTTCTGGAGACCTGGATTCAATTCAATGGAGACCTGAGATATTTTAAAAAAATCTGAAATTAAGAGTCTAATGACCAAGAAACCATTGTCAAATGTCAGGAAAACCCATCTGGCTCACTAGTGTGCTTTAGGGAAGGAAACTGCCCTCCTTACCAAGTCTGGCCTACATGTGACTCCAGACCCACAGCAATGTGGTTGACTTTTAACTGCCCTCTGGGCAATTCGAAATTCGGCAAATGATGCTGGCCTGGCCAGTGACACATACCTCCCATAATGAATAAAAAAATACAGTAATTTGGAAGGTCTCAAAATAAACCACAGCACACAATTTATTGACAGAAAGAAATGGCCAAGTTATAGTAAATTGGTGATGTTCGTAAAGCCATGCAATTGAATTGCACTTCATATTTAAATTCCGAGCAGTCACAGCCAATAATATATGTTGACAAAAATTGTTGGCTTTAAGCTCTAGTTTTGAGACAGTAGAGGACGGAGAGTGAAAAATATCTCAGTTGAGGCAAAACTACCAGAAGAGGTCACAAATCCCAAGAACTGCACCATTACCTGCCATTTAAGTGGCCAACAATCTCCATTGAATTCAGGTGCTGGTCTGTTCTCAGTGCATTTCTTTTGGATTGTCAGAGTGCCCCTTGGCACAGAGCAGTGGTCCCACAGCATCTTCTGAGTGTGTCCTTTGTGGTCGGCAGGTGGGTTTTAAGTATGCTTATTTGCAGGGGAGGTGGTGTGTAAATGGTGCATCAACGCTTTTAGAACTGTCCAGCTTGTCAACACTTGCTGACAGGTCTTGATGTGTCTGGAATTATCAACGAGCATCAGCCAGTGATGACCTGGAAGTGTGAACATATTTGACCTGTCAAGAAGTCTTGACTTGTCAAGAACTGTCCACAAGTATCAAAATGTGTTTTTGTGTATTAGAATGCTTTTATCGATTGTGTAGGCTGCAACATAGAAATTTAAATGTTAGCATTTTTGTTTTTCTGTCAGTTACTCAATGATTTATAATGGTAGGACAAAAAGGTTGGTGGGTGGATGTAGGCACTAAGTTGGCATAGGGATATGAAGGATGGATGAATGGCTAAAGGTCATTAGGTGGCATGGATTGGGCATAGGATTTTGTGGGATTGAGAGAGGTCTGAGGTGAGGGCTACATGACCGAGGAATCAGAAAAATAAATGGCAACTATTTTAAAGTGCTTGTACACATAAAACCACTATAGCATTTATGCTGCATGACTGATTTTTGGGGGTGGTGGGGTGGTACGGTGGTACAGTGTTTAGCACTGCTGCTTCACAGCACCAGGGACCAGGGTTTGATTCCAGCCTCAGGTGACTGTGTGGAGTTTGTACATTCTCCTTGTGTCTGTTTGGGTTTCTTCCAGGTGCTCTGGATACCTCCCACAGCCTAAAGATGTGCAGATTAGGAGAATTGGTTATGCTAAATTGCCCACAGTGTCCAGAGATGTGCAGGCTAGATGGGTTAGCCCTGGGAAGTGCAGGGTTAAAGGAATAGGGTGGGATGCTCTTCAGAGGTTCAGTGCAGACTTGATGGGCCAAGCCGCCTCTTTTTGTACTGTAGGGATTCTAAACTATCATTTTCATGGTGGGATGCCTTTTGATAAAGATCTTCAACTGCTATTGAATGGAAATGTGCATGATATAGGGGGTTGTACTCTTACATGAAATATTTGTTTACATAAGATATTAAGCACTTGAGTGAAATGTTTATTTACGTAAGGGATTAGTTGAAACAATTTCAATATTTTGGAATTTATTTGCATCATTTAAGTATGTTTTGTTCCAATGGTGGCATTATCAATAAAATGATAATTTTATATTTTGTCAGTATGCCTCCTCATTAATGCTCATTCTGGGTAATGGGCGAATTGGCACAGACAGATAAGAAAAGGGTGACAGGCTAGACTGTATGAGTTGGCATAGGAGCCATAAAGGACCATGGGATTGATGGGGGCATGGCAGTATAAGGGGTCATATGAGGAAGAGGTTGGTATGGGGATATGTGGAGCCAGAGATGGGTGGATGGGCGTGGGGCGACATATGAAGGACAAGAGGCCATGAGATGTGGGTTAAGGGGCATAGGTTGGCATAAGAGTATAAGAGATCATGAGCGAGTGAGTAGATGTTATAGGATGGCCTGGATGGGGCATGAAGAGTGGGGGGATCAGAGCAAGACGGATGTATTGTGTTTTATTATTTATTTTTAAACATTGAACATGGTGCTGGAGTCCCCTCAACCCATCTTGGGGCCTGGCAGCCACCACCACTTTGCCTCAGTTGCCAATTTTCCCCCAACTGCCATGTCATGGTCCAAAAATGAGGAGTAAAGGCTGTTATTTATAAAGTGAGAGTTGGAGAAACTGTTTCTTCTAACTCTGTGCACTGGACCTGGGAATGAAAATTGGGTGATGTGTTTCCTTGTTCTGCATTCGCTGGCATTGGGAAACAGATCCTTTGCTTTTTCTCAATTGGATCCTTCTCATTTTAAATACTTTACTCAGATCACCCCCCACATGTTGAAGTAGAAGGCAAACTGACCTTGTCATTTCACCCTTTAACCCCGGTATCATTTTGGTGAATTTGTGCAGGACACATTCCAAGGAAAATAATCTCCCTGAGATGCAGCTCAGCACTGAACACAATGCCCCAGATGCGTTCTGCCCCAGGCTCTGTTAAAACAGATGCAACACTGCCTTCCCTTTGCATTCCAATCTCGAGCAGAGGTGATTATTTGCTGAGCACCTTTATTGCAACGTAATTAAGTTGAAAATTTAGTGCTTTAAAAAATGTTGTGTTAATGGCTTTCATATCTCTCACCAGCTGATCATGTGAGTCACTCACAGATGTCGATGGTAAATAAATTACTTATTTCAGGTTTTTATACGTTTATTGAGAATGTACTTGCGAGAAAGTATCATTCAATTAACAACCTTTTTGTAAAAGTCTTTAAAATGTCGATAGTCAGATGCCCTTTTCCATTGATGTTAATATGTGTATGTGTATGAGGATTGGTTAAAAGGTATTGCTTAGAAATTCATAAAAGTGTCTCTGACTTGTTTTTTGTTATTACTGACATAAGAGTCACAATATTGTTCCTCATAAAATGCTGCATTTTGAAAACGAAATTGGCTGCTCTTGTTATTAACATTGCTTATTCCTGGTCTAGGCTGATACTTGGTACTATTGCATTGCTGGGGCTGATATTATTTGGCTAAAGATTTTTTGCAGCTTCCAATGGATAATATAGATATTAAAGATCCCTTGGCTCTATTTGTTCAAGAACACATAGTTCAGACAGTGTTGTAGTCAAAATTTCTTCTTTAACCAGCAATGATAAAGAGCAATTTAGCTCACTTACTATTTATATGAGTGAGATGTATATAGAATGACAGTGACTACACTTCAGAGTTAACCTATTAGTGATACAAGCCTTTAAATGCTTCTATTAATTATAGAAGGAGCTATTGGTGATACAACCTTTAAATGCTTCGAAGAATTATGGAGGAAGTTCTAGAACTTCAGGACCTCAGCAGCTGAAGATACAGCCATCAATGGAGGAGGCATTTGGAGAGCTTAAATCAATGAGGTGTTGTCGTTTTGTGGCATAGCAGTAATGTCTCTACCTCTGATTCAAGAGGCCTGCCCCAGAAGTGGGTCATAACATCTCTGCAAAGATTGATTAAAAGTATCTAAACTGATAGGATGTGTGTGCAATATTATGTCCAGAGGAGATTCTGAGTTGTACCGTTTTAAATGGGTTGATGCTAATTGCAGAGGGAGATCAAAAAGCACCCATGAACACTGTGGGTGGCACAGTGGCCCAGTGGTTAGCAGTGCTGCCTCACAGTGCCAGGGATCCAGGCTTGATTCCAGCCTCAGGTAACTCTCTAAGTTTGCATGTTCTCCTGATGTCTGTGTTAGTTGTCTCTGGGTGCTCTGGTTTCCTCCCACAATCCAAAGATGTGCAGATTAGATGGATTGGCCATGCAAAATTGCCCATAGTGTCCAGAGATGTGCAAGCTAGGCGGATTAGCCGTGGGAAATACAGGGATAGGGTAGGGGTTTGGGTCTGGGTGGGATGGTCTTCAGAGGGTTGGTGTGGACTCAATGGGCTGAATGGTCTGATTCCACACTGTAGGGGGTTCTGTGAATTAGCTTTCAAGTTTCCCTGTCCAGTGTCCTGTACCGAGCGCTAGAAAATCCAATCTCAGTTCTCCTAGCCACCTGCCACATAAGCAAACAAGAGCAGGAGAAAAAGAAGGAAAAACAGCAATTTTTATGACATTGCATTCTGCATAAATACAATATCTCAAAATGCTTGACAAGAAGGCTATAAAATAAAATATGACACCGAGCCCTATAAGGAAATATATTGTCAGATGACAAAAGCTTGGTCAAGTGATAGATTTTAAGCAGGAAAGTGAGGTGGAAAGAGGAGAGTTGTAGGAACGTAAGCACAGGCCTGACTGCTAAAGTTTCAATTATTAAAATAAGGGACACTGAAGAGGTTAGACTTAGAGGAGAACAAATATCTCAGAAGGCTGTAGGGCTATAAGAGATTGTAGAGATGGACAGGAGAGAGGCCATAGAGGGATTTGAAAGCGACGATGAGAATTTTAAAACTAAGACTTTGCTTGGCTGGGATTCAACATAGGTCAGAGAGTGCAGGACTGATAGTGTCTTGGCCCAAATTTAGGAGAGTTTTGGATTTCCTCAAGGAGGGTATGAAGTGGAGATCAGCCAGGAAGGTAGAGTCATTCCAGAGATAATGAAGACCGGAATGAGGGTCTCAGCAGCAGATGAACTGGGAAAGGGGATAGGTTGAGCAATGTTACCGA